CCGGATTTTGTGTTTAAAGATCAGCTTAACACTGTTGTCAATTCTCTTGTTGTCATCCTGCTATAAACTCGGTTCACAGTGATGCCATGAAGGTTCTGCAGAGTCCTTTTGTTAGTTTTTGTGGTGCTGGATAGCAAATTGCCATCGGCTCTGAAATTTCAAGCCATACACATTTATTCGTTCTGATCATAATGTGACTATTGCCCTATGCTCAGTTATGACTAAAAGAAGATATTGACCACAGTATGTTTTCGTTGGTATTTTGTGATCCTGTTGCAAGCTCACATAATTGATGCAGAATTCAGCTCCTTGAATTCAGCGAGACTGAGGTCCTGATTTTGCTGGTGTCTGCTGGGAGGGTCTTCTCTCCGCTCCTGCAGGTTCACCTAATCTTTGCAATGTGGCCCTGCTCATGTGCAAAGGGACTCTTTATCTTACTGAATCCTTCTAGTATATAGTTCTAATATATAGAACTTATTTATAGAATATGACCAATTGAGGAACTCTCCTCTGGGGAAGACAATTTCTCCCACTCACCCTCAGCATTCTCTAGTTGCCAGTTCTTCGTCTGCAGCTGTAGTTCCATGTAACGAGGAGGGAACGGGCTGCATCCTGACACCCGGCTAGCTTAACCCCCGAAATAACCACATGGAAATTGTATTAATTCAAATACTGCCTGGCCCATTATCTCCAGCCCCTTATTGGCTAACTCTCACATATCAGTTTAACCCATCTCCATTAATGTGTATCGCCACTTGACTGTGGCTTACCGGCATGAGTCTAACAAGTGTCCGTCTTGGGCAGGAAGACCATGGTGTCTGCCACACTGCCTTCTTCCTCCAAGAATTCTGTTCTGTCTTCCCAGCCTACCTGAGATCTGCCCTATCAACTAGGCCAAGGCAATATCTTTAATAACCAGTGAAGCAACACAAATACAGAAGGACCTCCTACACCAGTTCCGTGAGCTTTTCCATGAACTTTAACTTTGGGGTTAACATGTCCAATGGTGTTGCCATTGTATAGGCAGCCATCTTGATGAGACTTCATGGGTGTAGTCTCTTTATAGTTTCTATGAAACACACTCTCACAGAAAACTGCCTATTACTCTGGCTTTTAAAAATCTTTCCATACCCACTTTAGCAGTAATACTAGGCTTACACACAGGAATTGTGTTTAGATGCATCTGATGGGACTGAGCATCCATCACATGACCTTTTGTTTTCTGCATTTTGACCAGCTGTGATTTTCATGGTGATCTCTGTTGCAAAGAAAAGTTTCTGTAATGAGAAGTGAGATCCCTTATATGTGTATATAAGGATAAATATTAGAATGTCTTCAGACCTTACACTAGTTTAGGAAAGTGGATTGTAGATTCACGGAAGATCCAGGGCTCCTCTAGCCCTGTGTAGTTGGGTAGGTTTCCAGTACAGGTAGCATTTCCCTCATTCTGAGCTACATTTAAAGAGCTTTCGCTTACCACCAAGGTATACTTGCCCCTATTGTACCCCTAGGATTATTTGCCATGTTGTAGTGGTTCATGGGTATCAAGGATCAGTTGCTTCCCTCCTTTGGAAGCTCGCAGGCACCTTGTAGTACCATGATAGTTAACCTCAGGGAGGAGGCTTCCAGGCCAGATCCGGCCCAGGTCCTCTAAGCCCTGTGTCTAAAGTTCATAATGTCTTCAGCAATAGGGTCTCACCTTCCACCTCTGGGAGGAAACCACATACAACAGCAGTAGCCCATAATGTTTCCGGGAGTCTCTTAAACAACTTTTACCAACAACTCAAAAGGGGAATCCTTGTGCCTGGTGTTGGTGCTTTTGATACATAGTCTATGGCCTTTGTGGAGAGCATTATCAGGCTAGAAGGGAAATTTCACTTAAAGTATATGTATATGTATATGTATATGTGTGCTGCAAATGTATTTGAAGAAGAGGAGTGGTCCCTTCACCCCTTTAGCCAGGTCCTTTTTGCAGAAGTGGCACCCTGGATGTCAGTAACAGTTAGATTGGAAACAAGGGTTAAACACTTACCACACCTTCCTCAGTATCATTTCTGTCTTTTTAGTAATAAGTTCATCTTCCTGGGTGTCATCTTCCTGAAGAGGAATGGGAGCCTGCGAGCGTGAGGGGCAAGTTGTCAGTCAGGGCTTGGGCGGAATCAAAGTGAATGCCCTTGGAGTATCTTTCCCAATACTGAGATACTGTTCTTAGATCATTTTATGCTTAATTAATTTCCTTAATGCCATAGAAAGTCAGAGCTGAAATGGATCTTAGAGAAGTGCCTAGTCTTTCACTCCCCTTGGGGTGGAAGAGTTAATGGCACCTGACACTCCCGTAAATCAGTAGCTTAATGGACATCTAAGTGGGTTTATATAAAACATTGGAGGTTTTCCCCTAGCATTCTTTTGACAGGCTCTAGCTATATAGTTCAGGCTGGCCTTGAACTCATGATTCTCCTAACTCAACCTATTGAAGTGTACCACCACCATACCTGGCTCAATTGAGTCAGCTCCATTGATTTTTTAATGTCTAATTCAGTGACACAGCATTTCCTGAGCATCAGAGATTAGAGAAAGATGACACCTTCATGCCAGCTACAGGAGCTAGACTCCAGCAGAAATCCAGCGACAGTCATTTTAAACAGAGGGTAGGAGGCATCCTCCCCGACAGCACCCCCCATCCTCACCACCAGGGAACATGCTAACATTTTGGTGTGGTAATGAGGGCAAAGTGTGTGAGGTTTGCATCAACCCCCCGGGAGATTCTTACATGTTCCGACTGAGACTCTTAGACCGTTCTATTTTTTGCTGTGTATTGCTTTCTTTCTGTCATTGAACTGACCTCTTTCATTTCTCATTATTTCTTCATAGAATCTTCTAGTCCTTGAGTAGTCATTGACTGTCTCAGCAGCTCATTCTCGATTCCTCTTGTGTCAGGCTGCTTGCTTGTGACCATTCCAGCTTGCTACCTAACTGCTTGGTGCACAGAGACACCTTACTTCCCAGGGATCTGCTGAGGTCACAGTTCAGGTCTTCAGTCCAGCTGGGACTTGCTGTGCTGGGATTTCTCCCTTGCTGGTAGGGCGGTCACTGTCCTCCCAACTTCTTGTCTGTGGCTGGATTCACTCAGCCATTGCTGATGCTGCTAGATCCTTACTCTGGGCACCTTCTTTCGGTCAGTTCTCCGTTTCGACTTCAAAGGTAATGAGTGAAACTGAACCCAGGGTAGTGCTTGTCGGTCACAGGATTCTCCCTCATGCATCATTGAGGCTATGAACTTCTGACAAGTCAGCTTCCCTGTGATCCTGTACTCCATCCTGCAGGACTGAGGGACATTTTAAGTTAGAGTGGGGTATGGAGATGGCTCAGCCGGGCGAGACGCTGTGAGATCTGACTACATGAACCCAATCCCTGGGACTCACGGTAGGAGAGAATCCAATTCTGAAAGATGTTATATGCGCGCATGCACGTGCGCAGGGAATTGATTAATTAATTAATTACATTTTTAAGAAAATCGGGTTCTTTTCACCTGCTGATTTGGAATATGTGTTATCTTCAACAGCAAATATGTTGAATCTACTGTGAATAGGGTAGAACATGAGATTCTGAAACCCTGATATCTCCAAGAGAGAATTTACAAATTTGTTACATTATGGAGATTAAAATAAGCATTTCACCAGTATTTTGTTTGTAAGCTTAATGCAAGAAGCACATAACTGTCGTTTTGAATGAAAGCCCATGAACTCCCACATTGACACCAAGGGCAGAAGGCCTACATGGGGTTGACCTCAGAAGAGTGTCAGTGATTGCTTAGGACAGAAGCCAGGAGCAAGGGGGGCCTTTAACCAGCACACATGCCTGTGCAGGCAACTTTGAAATTCTTCCAGTGCGTGTACCTGGCTTTGCTATGAGAAAAACACACAGATCTCATACATACAATTCCAGTATATGAGATTATCGATGGCAGTCAGACGTAACGCTTTAAAACTGAACAAGTCTTATTTGGAGTCTTAGTATGCACCTGAACATCTTCCTTCTTAACCTCGGGTTCCTCCTGTTTATACACAACTGTTCTTTTGAAGTCTCTGCCTTGTGAGTTAAGGCTTCTCTTTGAGAGTCAGTTTGAGAAAAGGCCAGGGACACCTGTGTTTTTCTTCATCAGCAGAAGGGCCTAGTAGTCCCCCGAGCTCCTTCACCTGGTCCCCCAGTCAGGCTTTACAAGAACATTTACTGCTCCTCAATGGTGATTTTGGCACTATGCACACACAGGTATTGAGCAAACAAACATACGATAACTGCGGTTCACAGTTACTGAGCACGTGCCTTAAGCCTTTACATATTTAATTTTCATTAGTAGTAGAAATCGTCCAACAAATGAAGCCTGTGTCATTCAAGCACGGAGGTGTTCAGCCACTGTCTGCCATCACATTTGATTTGAGTCAGAGTCGACTTTCCCACATGGTAGTGTGGCCAGATCCTCTTCTCCAATGCCACCTGCCCTTCCGCAGAGCCCAGGACAGAGGAGTGCAGTGACGTGTGTCTAAGTCCAGAGCTGGGGGCCTCCTAAATAACATGTTGTGGTCTGTGGAACTGGGTGACTAGATCAGTGGGTAAAGGCCTTGCGTTACATGTGATCCCCAGCACCCACACACAAGGCCAGAGCACAGCACTGGAGACATGGAGCTGGCTCTGCCCCCGTAGCTCAATGTCCATGACCCAGTCTAATCAGTGATCTCCAGGTTTGGGAGAGACCCTGACTCAGAGAAGATGGAAAACTGTTGAGGAAGGCAGCAGACGTTAGCCTTGACTGCACACAATTGCACATCTGAACTGTGTTTTGTCTCTGTGCGTGCGTGCGTGTGTGTGTGTGTGTGTGTGTAAACCATGGCCCACAGGTTTAATTGTTTCTATCTTCTACTAGAGTAACAAGGACGTATTTGAGAGCATTAGCAGTGAGTATGGTAAACACTAATTATGGTTTTTGTTTTCTTTCTCCACAGCGTCATGGTTTTCTCCAAATGAAAAGATCCTCATTGTTATTTTCCCAATTTTGGCTATACTCCTGTTCTGGGGAAAATTAGGTATTTTAAGTAAGTATTCAAATGGATTTTTTTTCATGTATGCTTTAGTGATACGATGGTTATTTCTGTGGCATTGCCCGTGGAATCTGACTAGCCTGCACTGGGAAACGTGTTAGTATGTATAAGAATAACCAGTTTGTGTACAGTTTTGTTAAAGCATCTATTGTCTCCCATATTTTGCTACAGCTCGGATTTAAGTTTAAGGTGTTTGGTTGTGAGTGGAGTTTAGAGACCTCTGTGGGAGGGACGAGTAGAAATGTTAGTTATAACACCTTACGTCCCGTGACACGGTTCTTTGCAAATGTTTTATTTGGTAAAGAGATGGTCATAGGCTACTTAAGTGTGAAGACAGATTGCTCTGCTCTGGGGCCCTGGGATGCTCTGCCCCATTTCTCGGGTGTCAGCTTGTCTTCTGTAGACAAAGGCCTGTTTGTGTGCCTTGTACAGCTCTGCAGCCCCTGATGGGGGTTGTCCTCTGTGATCTTGCTTTGACAGCCATGTAACCAAACCTCTGAAGGCCAAACCTGATGCTCTGTCTGATTTGCCTCAGTCTAGGATTATTATCACAGGGTAAACTGCTGATCTACACGCACTAGTATCCACATACTGTAGCCACTCCACTAGGGATGTGCCAATCTCTCCTCAGTATTTCCATACCAATGCAGTAAGAGAGATCGACTACGTTTGTGAAGTTCTGAGGTGACAGACTAAACTTTCAGACGTATTGAATACATAAGATCTACTCACCCTCTGAGCCTCCTGACGTAGCCACCTCTTCGGGTGAGGAGAAAACGCTGCTCACTAAATTTGCCGTGCAGCCTTTAGAGAGGCATAGGCTAGTGATGCACTCCAGAGGACGCCTGCTGGGTCGTTCATGAAGTTCTTTCCCAGGAAGGAAGTTCTTTCCCAGGAAGGGCGAGGTTGTGTGTGTCCTCAGTGAGGCATAAAAACAGATGTGACCTGACAACGTTCCTGGGTTTTGTGTAAATAGAAAAGAGGAGAACAAGGAGACACCCAAGCCCTTTCCTCCACGACAGTGAGGTGCTGTTGGAAGTTACCTGAGACTTCCAGAAACCCTCTTATTGTAAGGAAAGAACTGATACGGCCTCGGGCCCTGCCCCATAATCACTGGCATTAAGGAGAGCTTTTAGCCACATTGGCGGAGCCAGGCAGGCAGGACTAAGTCACGTGACTCAGGCAGGAAACAGTGTTTAAAGATCAGACAGTGTTTTCACAGCAGTGCTGTTGAATTTGGGTTGACAGAAGTTTCCTGGTTGTGATGTCATCATTAGCAACACCATTTTCAGTGGAATGGATCAGAAATGATTCTCTTTATGATCACCCGTATTTGTACAGAAGAAAACAAATGAGTTTTTTCCTGACTATGGAATGCATTAATAAAGAAGCTATCGAGAAAATAAGTCATCTGTTGGCTCTATATCTAGAAGGCTAGAGGGATGGATTGTTTAGTTTTTAGTTTGCGTTTGATTCTAGTAACCTTCCAGCTTCCCTTTCTGTTTTTCTCTGTTGTTTTCTGTTTTCCTTCTATGAAAGGAGACTGTAAATGTGCTCATCCAGGTTGTGTATTTGTGCATCCCCGTGTCCTGATGTCTTCAGAGGGTTGCCATGGCTGTTTGTGTTCCCCTGTTACGGCTGGGTCATGTCCTATTCAACTTCGTCTTAGTGGGAATCAGGAGATACTGTGAACCGGATGGAAGGATAAGAGCTTTTGGGCGGCAGTGATATTTTAAGCCTACAGATAAACTCCACCACCGCGTGTTCCAGATCCACCCTCTCAATTACTGCTCCCACTGACGAGAATGTCCACGTTCATCTCAGGGTCCCGACAGTGTTATAGTCCAGTTCTAGAAACCTTCGCTAATTTGATATGTGAAAGAAAAACAATTATAGGTGTTGTATTAGTGAGCTCGGACATTCTTTTCAATGTTTTTATTATGCCAGTTGCATTTCAAAGAGTATATGTATGAACTTATTTTTAAGGGAAATATTTGATTTTGGTTCATCTTAAAGGGGGAGCTGAACGGGGGGGGGGGAGTAAGAGGTGGGCAGTGGGCATGCGGAAGACAAACTTCTGTATTTGACTCAGCCAGACAGGCCTCACACTTCGAGTTGAGTTGTTATAGTAGCGGCTGAATATTTGTGGAGCTCTTGCCCTGAGGAGCGACCACTCACTGTGCCAAGTGCTCTCAGCCATTCATTTCCCACAGGGCCTCTGTCAGTGCCCTGACTGTTGTTGTTCCTGTTTCGAAGATGGGAGACAGGCAGTTTGTCCATAGTCATGCAGTGGTTTCTGGGTAATCCTGGCTTTGGACAGTGCTGTTAGCCACTAGATTGTCTGCCTGTTTTGAGTTTGTATGCCGGAAGGATGGATGCGTATCTAGTGTACCAGTTTGACTTGTGCAACTATTAGTGCTAGAGCAGAATGTTGGGCTCGTGTTGATTTTTATACCCCCGCCCGGACCTACTGGCGGGATGTCTGGTGACTGCAGAGCACTGAGCTAAAGGTTTGAGGTGTGGAAGTGAGTGTCCATGCCTGTTGGCTCTGAGGCCACCACATGCTGCTCAGTGCAATCAGTATGGCACAGTTGCCTGTCTTGTACGTCACCTGAGTCAGTCAATCAGTCAGTCAGTCCCTTCCACCCTGTAAAAGGCTCCTTGGTTCTCACCTGCTGTCCCATTTGTGAGGTCGTGCATTAATGGTAATGTAGACCCAAGAGATTTCTGTTCTGGTTTTTTGGTTCCTCTTAACTTTCCACCCTGGTCCGTACTCTACCACAGGACATGTCTCCCAGTGGTCTCTCTGGCACTGCATGCAAATCTCTTCTGCTGCGAAAAGAAACCCAGGTCTCTGAAGACAGGGTGGGACCTGAGACTTCTAAGCTGCAATAAACCCTTGCCTTCACAAGTTGTTTTTGGTCACAGTAGTAGAAACCGCAAGGCAGATCCCAACCCAGTCAGTCCTGTTGTTCACAGGCTACTGGCTGATTTTCAGGGTTCTTCATGTGCACGGAGGTAACATTTAGCTGGTTGGTGGGTGCCCTCAGGTGCTGCGCACGGTGCTATGGTTCTGCCAGGCTGCTGTTGTTCAGACAGGCCCAGCTGTCTATAAAGATCTGGCTGTTCTCCTGGGTTCTTTGTACAGACATATGTGTTCTTTGTTTTCCTTTCCTTTAACCCTTGTCCTAGACAGCTGATCTTTTGCTTTGCACTCAGCTGCGTGACCATGAACCTGACCATGGAAGCTGAGCTCTGAAAAACAGTCTTGATAATAGGAAGGAAAATTACTGTCATGCAGTGGCCTTCAAAATATGTTGTCAAAACAAGCTGTGTTGGCGGCGCAGTCCTGTGATCTTAGCACTGCAGAGCAAGTACAGGCAAAGCAGAGCTACACGGCAAGAACCTGACTTGGGCAAAAGTCTTTGAAAATATTAAAGATTTCCTAGTTTTTGGAACATGGAAATAATAGTAAAGTTAGTAATTACTTCATGGCGAATCAGACTATTAAAAAGTTGGTATTTAAAGTGTCATAGTAAGGTTTGAGTGACGCTTTTGGTGTTGCCCTATCACGGGAATAGAGCAAGCAAATCGTCAGGCCCAGGCTCCCTTCTTAGTACATGTCAGCCTGCAACATTTTATCTTCGTACTTTCAGTGAAACATCTCCGAGTTATGTGCTGTATTTTTTATTTGATGTTTTTGTTGTTATGTCTTGTTTATTTTTTTGCTTACCAGAGTCCTATCCTCACGGACATTCTCATTGTTACATGGCCCTTACCTTTTCACTCATGGCCTAGAGTTCACTTTCCCTGAGCTTCTGGGCTGTCTCTTGAGCGGCCTCCATTGTGATAGTGTCACCATCGCCACAGTGGCTCCTCTGGAACTCCGCTATGATCTGGATTTCACAGCCAGCATTAACACTTGTCATTTTCTGGCTCCTCCACATCTCTTGACCAGTTTCCGTTTTTGGTAATGCGTTATAGAGTGGCCTGTGGGTTTATCACTGGGAGACGGGGAGCTAGAACTACACATTTGACTGTCTGGGCATGAACTGAAGAAGCAGCATGCGGTGACTGAGAGCAACAATCTCCAGTAGTTGAGGCATGATGGTGCTTCTATATATATTATATTGTGATTTTTGGATTATAGATATAGCAGGAAGCATATTTTGGTTACTACTCACATGTTGCATTTTGATAATGAAACTTCCACCTGTGTTTGGAGGACTTGAGGTAAATAGGTAAACCATAGAATCCATGAATGTCAGAACTGTGTAAAGTGAGGGCTTCTGGGATTTATTTCTGTGTATTCTAAGCATCTTCATTTCCTTTTCTTTCTCATCTCCATTTAAGATTCCCTCATGGACATTTTGATTATTACTTAGTGGTATTTGGGCAAATGTTGCTATGAAGGTCATAGTTGGGAAATTCAAAGAAAACTGTTGTCATTCACAAGAACCTTGAGGTCTCACTGATTCCCTGGAGTGTAGATTAATAAAAGCAACAAAGCCTTGGAAGCACATGGAAAAGAAATGATGGTACAGGGATTCTTCTAAGTGAATAGGAAAAAGAATTCTGAAGAAGTGAGGACAAGCACTACATTCTATTCAAGCAAGAAAACAAAATATCATTCTGATAAATATTATTGCAGAAAGTCAGCCTGTGACCTGTCCGGTGGCCCTAATCACAAATGCTAAGTGTAATTGTATTCAATAGTGTTGCACTTGAGCCTTTTCCTGTAGTGCTCCTATGATTCCCACGCCATGTTGTTCAATGGCTTTACTGGAAGAGCAATTTGCCAAACATTGGCACAGCGTTTTACTCTTACAAGGGTGGAGGCACCAGTTCCTTTCTGGTGTCAAACACCAGACATCACTGCTCTTGAATATACTCTGGAATTCTGGAGCCTTCCATTGTACCAGAGTACTTTGTCATCAGTAGATGCCTGTTGGGCATTCCCCTCTGTTGTGCCCTATGGACAGGGAGTGTGCTCTTTGGTGGTATTCATCTTGGTAAACTTACTTCCTCAGAGAGCATGGCTAGGACGTGGACTCGGTAACATTTATATTCCACACTCATAGCCAGTGAAACACTTTATGCTTGGCAGTTGATTTTTCTCCAGCACCATTTCCACAAGGCCTTCATCTGTGCATGTGTGTTTTAAAAATCAAATTTTAAAAATCAAAAAGCAAAATTTGATTTTTAAAAGTTATCATATGTACTTTATCAGATTATGTTGAAAATAATATTGGTTTAGAGCCCAACAGATGCCAAAGGATTCTAAATTACTTTGCTAGAGTTATCAGAATAAAAACACTATAAAAATTGAATTGATGGTTTTATCTCCCTTTATCATTTACTCTTAATCTGATATCAATTCTATCTCGATAGTCTACCTTCTGTCTCTTCACCATAGTCTTGTGGCTAGGGACTGTCTGAATGTCACGTCTGAGCAAGCGTTGGGTTTTTCTAGGTAGCATACAGTCTGTGTGGGCTTTTGTGGGTGTTCTGTATCTCATTTTTAGAGGATCATAAACGTTTAACATGATAGATTTTATGTTTCAGACCAAATTGGCCTGATTATTTTACGAGGTTTCATCAGCCACAACTCAGATGCCATCTTAATATGAGCTCTGTGTCAGTGGCAGAGACCAGAAAAACTGTGTCTGTTCATGACATTAGTTCCTCGTTCAGGTCTCTGGAAGAGCATGCAGACTCTCTGCTCACTGGAAGGTTTAGTACACAGGAAACTAAGACTAGGCTAGACCTCTACCTTCCATGGGTTGGTTGGGTTGGAGTCACTCAATTCTTGTCAAATAAAGCTATCCGCTATTTATTCCTTGATTTGGGCTCTTAAAAGGGTATGTTGCAGAGTACACACATGGCAAAAATGTGTGAATAAGCCCATCTAACACTTGATAACCTGATAGAGTCAATAGTGTTATATTACATATGACGTGAAATTATACAATATATATTTGAATTAGAAGAATACCTAATATCATGCTTAATACTGTCACATTGTACCAGACACTGTGGTGCACTCCTGCAATGCCAGCACTTGAGAGGTAGGGGCAGGAGGGATGCAGATTCAAGGCCATTGTAGGCTACATAATGAGACTGTATCACAAAAAAAAAAATCCTGCCATATGGTTTCCCCCATGCTTGGCTTTCCTGTATCCAGTAGCAGTAAAGTTAGAAAGTTTTTGGTAAAACTGTAAATTCTGGGTGATGCATGGCAGCACACACTACTCCCAGACCGGTCTGCAAAGTGAGTTCCAGACCATCTAGGCCTATATGGTGAGACTCTGTCTCCAAGAACAAAACAAAAGAATGTGTTTTATTTCTTATGTATTGTAAGTATTGCTTTCAGTATTTTAGCTGAGTGGAGTCTTTTAAAGCATCCATGTTATTAAAATCATGTGGATTATTTTGCTAAGCTATAAAATTATACTATGAAGTTTGATAAAAAGCCTGTTTTAAAAACTATATTAAATTAACCTGGGTGTAGTGGTGCAGGCCTTTAATTTTAGTACTCAGGAGGCAGAGACAGGTGGATCTTAGTGAATATAAGGCCAACTTGGTCAACATAGAGAATTCCAGGACAGCCAGGGCTAAATAGTGAGACTCTGTCTCAAGAAAAGGAAGAAAGGAAGGAAGGAAGGAAGGAAGGAAGGAAGGAAGGAAGGAAGGAAGGAAGGAAGGAAGGAAGGAAGGAAGGGTATCCTAAAATTATTTACTTTCATCCCAAGTGTTCAGGAAATTACTTGCATCCATGTTGTCTTCGTTGTGTTTAATGACTTGATAAATTGGGAAATTAAGGGTAAATCCACTTATTAAGGAGCAAGAAGAAATCACCAGCAAAAAAAAATCCCTTGAAATTGTTAAGTTCTGTGGAATCTAATTGTCGCTGAGAACACTGATAACTGGGTCAGCCAGATACCTTCTCTCCCTGCTGTGGGGCATGGCTGAATGCAGCCATTGTGAGTGAAGAATGTGAGCAAGAAGAGATTCCCTCTGCATGTCTGCTCAGGAACACACAGATGTTCTTCCATTGCCTGGGATTACTTAAGACCCATTAATCTATTTGCTACAGTTGCTGTTTAAGAACAAAATAGGTAACCTGGAAAATAGTAGCTCAACCAGCCACCAAGAACTGAAGCCACCTCCAACACATAAATTACTTACAAGACCTTTTGATGTAATATTTTTGTGGTGTTTTATTTTTTGTTGCTATTGTTGACTTTATTTCTTTTTCGGCAGCTCTGCCTGCTCAGCCTGAACAGGATGGAGTTTATGTGTTGTTCAAACTCTTATTTTTTTTTTTTTATTTTTAATGACTCTCTTTTTTTTTTTTTTATTAAAACTGGAAGTGGCTCTAATGAATGCTTGATAGATTGTGTGGTACATTTGAAGCGGCTTTTATGTTGCAACTTTTGCAGACTTTTCATGCTCTATTTAGAGAGCAACATATATGGGATTAAGTGGAAAATGAGCCGTATGCTTTGAGAAATACGTGTTTCTGCCTTTCTGAAATACGTCTTTGTCTTCTGTGACCCAAACACTCGCTTTTTTCCTAGCTGATAGTCAAGATTTGAAAGTAGGGAAGCTGTAAAAACTCCTCCTCCTAAGGAGGCCAGGGTGGGACTGAACAGTCATTATGTGAGCTCTAAGGCTGGATAGAGGTAACCAACCAAACCAAAGCCCGACATCTTGCTACATGACACACTCTGTGTCCTAGGAGTGTCAGCCATTCAGCTTTGTGACTCGTCATTGTTTAGATCGCTGTCTCCTCCCGAAGTGACTAGAACTGAGGTTGTCATCAAAAGAGTGGGTAGGAGGTTGTCCTCGTTAGCTTTAACTGTCAGCTGGACACACATCCTAGAGACATCTGAGAAGAGACACTTGAAGGGTTGCCCAGATCAGATTGGCCTGTGGTGAACTGTCTTGACAGTTCATTCAGGAGGGCCCAGCCCACTGCAGGCAGCCCTATTCCCTGTACAGATAGGTTCTCCTGGGTTTTGGAAGAAATCTAGCTAAGTATGAGCCGGCAAGCAGGGTTCCTCCATGGTTCATGCTTGAGTTCCTGCCCTGAGGTTCCCCAGTGAAAGGCTGTGATCAGTAAGGTAAAATAAGCCCTTCCCTCTCCTAAGCCATGTTTTGGGAAAGAGTGTTTTATCACCCCAGAAAATAAGCTAGAACATGAGAGCAATAAAAGTCTTCAGGTGCCTTCGTGATAGATTTTTAATATGGTCATTAAGTACTTTTCCAATTTCGCTATGTTTAATCTGTTCATCATCTCAGTAGAAGAAAATTAAAAGCAAATACAACATTTAAAAATAATTCCCCACGGTATTAGCTACTTTTCTGTTGCCGTGATAAAATACCATGACCAAAAGCAATTTAAAGAAGAAATGTTTATCTTGGCTTATGGTTCTAAAGGGAAAGTCCACGGTGGCAGAAATACATGGCAGCCATGAAGCAGCGATCTCCTATCTTCAGTGTCCAACGCAAGGCAGAGAGAGAGAGAACTGGAAATAGGGAAATAAATGCCCAAAGCCTGCTTTTAATGACCTGTTTCCTTCAACATGGCACCATGCCCTAAAAGTTCCATTACCTCCCCCAAACAGCACCACTAAGCGTTCAGATGTATGCGCTTACAGGAGGCATTTCTCATTCAAACCAGCACAAACCGCAGGATGCCAGCAAGCAGGACACCAGTGTGTAGGTGGCAGCAGCAGTGTGCCAGGCTCACCTCTTGGGGCTCTGTTCTCTTCAGACTGATTTCAGGTGTCCTTGAATGATCTCTCTCTCTCTCTCTCTCTCTCTCTCTCTCTCTCTCTCTCTCTCTCTCTCTCTCTCTCGTATCTATCTCTCTGGTGAAAAAATAATTTCAACGTTAACCAAATAAAAAAGCCAAAAGAGATCAAAAGAAAATGTTGTGATGCTCTATCACAGCCTGTGGTCTCAGGGAGGGTAGTGGCACCTGAGGATGAACCTGCATCAGGACCAGTGATGTCTGCCATGAATCCTCCTGACCCTGGCATTGTTTTTTCTTTCAGTATCTTAGTTGAAAGTTTTAGGCATTTAATTCCATAGGAGTTTTGCAAGGATGTGATTTGCTTAATGTTCTTTTATCTCCATTTTCAAGTTAAATGACCCAGACTTCCAGGTGTCCTACTAAGTTTTAAAAATGTGTATTCATTTTCCCAGTGTTGCTCTTTAAGTGGTTCTGTCTTATCAGCCTTGTGTGTCCTCTTCTCTGTTATTTGGGATGATTTTGCTCCTCTGGGGACACTGAAAATGTCTGAAAACATTTTTATTGATAGCTAGGGAAGTGGGGAACCCTTACTGGCATCTAGTATGTGGGGTGCAGGGATTCTGCAATTTTCTTTGCACAGATCCAGTGCTAAGGGGAAAATGTGAAAAAGACTTAATGATGCTCCAATTTAGAAAGCCTATTATATGTAGTTTTATTGTATCAAGCACAGGGAATAAAATGTCACCTCCACCGTCAGAATGCACATTTACATGGCCATAGCTTACAGAAACACAGGGGGTAGGAGGTGACTTGGTGACGCTTCTGAGGCTACTCACATATGCGGAGTTGGCAGTTTCCCTCACTCATGTATTACCAAAATGGCATCACTTGTGACTGACTTATGCAATTCTTTGTTTTTCTTTCAAGCGCTTAAATACAAATCCACTCGAACGAATAAGAGAATCATTCTGCTGCTTGTCGCCGGGACGGTGCTCACCATCATCGTCATTGTTGGAGCCATTCTTCTCATACCAGGTAGGCTGCGTGGGTACCGGGGTCAGGGCTGTGGGACTGATGGGAGAGGCATCCCAGGGGTCGTGTATTGGCTTACAGGGCTCTTGTGAACGACTGTGGCAAATGATGTGGTCTCAAGCGATAGAAATTCTCTGGAGGACTTGAAGTCTCTCTCAAGGACTGTAGTTCCCTCTGGGGAAGAACCCTTGCCGTACCTCTTCTAGCTTTCCTGTTCACAGGCAGTGCTTGGAGCTGCCCAGCTAGTAGAGCAGCCCCATCACTGCCTCCTCCTGCCCTGTGTCCTCTGTGTCTGTGCCAGGTCCCTCTCCCTTCTCCTCTCTGCCCTGGCACTCAGCAAGAAGAAGGTATTCAGGCGCTCATTCAGTTTGGGCAAGGTCTTCCTTCAACATCCTTGACTTAGTAGCATATTTTTTCCCACTCAGTATTTATTCTGCCCCATGGGGTAGCACTCAGTTTCTGGGACCAGGAAGGTGAACTATAACTAGGGAACCCATTAAATCCACTATGGCGGTAGACTTCACTGGCTGAGGTGTGGAAATACACAGGTCTTTCTGAAGTGGGCCTTGTCGCTGAGAGGTGGAAATACAAATGGGAAATTGTGGCAGGGGGCGGATGGGAAGAAAAGCAAAGGCTGGAATTCACCACAGCAGACCACAGAACGCCACTGCATCTCTTAGGGAGGCTGAGGCACAGGCAGATCTTTAGAACACAGATTTGGCAGCTGTGTTTGCATCCAGGGCTGGTGAGGGCCTGGGGAGCCGATGAACTCAGAAGACGATGTGAAAGAGCAGGTGATCTGGCTTGGGGACAGGCTGAGTACTGAGAATGAATGGACGGTGGACGGCGAGGGCAAGTTCATCATCCGGGAGATTTACGGCAGCTAAAGAGTTAGAACCAAATAAAGGATTCACCGTGTTAAGATACAAATCCTTTAGCTTGGCCTTCAATGTTAAAATAAGAATTACTTATTTTGTGCGAACTTGGAGAAAACATCTTTAAGCCTTTTGCAGTGTATAAGGTAGCGTTAAGGTTAAAACATTTAGTAGAATAAGTATATAACTTCACACAGAAGTATATAAGAAAGTATTTTAAATGTATTTATTTGTAACAGGAGAAAACCCTGTAAAAAGCGCTTCTGGACTTGGCCTCATTGTCATCTCTATAGGAATATTAATACCGCTTCAGTACAATGTGTTTATGATAGGTGAGTGTTTATTCTTACAGTCTCATTTTTACCATTTCCCTTAAAAAAAAAAAACAATACTTCAGTGAAAATACTCTTGTGGAGTTTTAAAAGTTCAATAGAAATTGGTTTATTAGATTGTCCATTGTATGCTTAGTGACATTTCCTATACAGATTGATTTTCAGGTTGCTAGGTCTTCTCAACAATTATTTTATGAAAAGAAATTTTCTTGCATATTTGATGGAATTGTTGTAATTTTAAAGTGCGCTGTATAATTTTTAATGGTTATTTGCATATTCTAATTTTAGTTTTTTGTAGTTATAAGTCAGTATTCAAAGCATTCTTTTTCCTCTTTTACTAACCCTTTGCAATAAGAAGACAGGTTCTATCAGATGGGGCTATAAGTCACAGATTTTAGAAACACAGTTTCTTATTGTTGGTGACCCTGGAAGGTATGGCTATTCCAACTGTAATCAGTACAGTTTTTGTGCATTTAGGTTATGTTTTTGTTATTGTTAAGAGCACTGAATCTTAGGTCCTTAGGCTATATTTAAAGGTTAGTTAGGAAAGCACGATCTTATACACACACACACACACACACACACACACACACACACACACACACACACGTTATCCCCAGAACAGTTGTGTGCATGTGGATAAGCAATGCATAACAAGTCATTCAGACTCTACAGTTTATAAATGTAACAAAACATTGTCTTGAGAATTGGTAAAAACTGCCAGTCCCTCTCGGATGACCGACAATATAAGCGTGCAGAGTGTGTGATCTGGAGCTGGCGCTCCTGTGGAAAGGTTAGCTGGAAAACGTGACATCCGAAGAGGAACGGCAGTCCATCTTTGAGTGTGTCAAATGCCAGTAGGAGTAATTGCTTCTTGTGTGTTCTCGACACGTTCCTATTGTGTCCTTTTCCTCCCTCAGCGTTTGGAATGGCCTCTTTCACCATTGCCATATTGATCACTCAAGTGCTGGGCTACGTCCTTGCTCTGGTTGGACTGTGTCTCTGCATCATGGGTGAGTCATATTCTTTTGTGTGTCTGGTTTCGTTTCAGTCAGGTTAGAGCTCTTACTTCCTCTTCCCCTTTGTCGTCTTTGTCTTCTTCGTCTTCTTTTTGAAACTGTATGGACTTTTCTTATAACAATTGTGGATTCATAGAAAAACCTAGTGGAAAGTACAGAGACTTACCATATACCCCACCCTTTTCTATTCCCATCCACCCACAGCTTCCCTCAGCATTTCACACCCATACAGTGGGTGGGTGAACCATCATGGTTGGTTGCTGGTGCTGCACGGGACATTCTGTGGCTGTGACGGATGTGCAGCGACACGTATGCCCATTGTGGTATCACGTGGAATAATCCCCGTGTTCTGCTTGTTCATCTGTCCCTCTTCCTAACCCCTGTCATCCCTGACCTTTTAACTTTCCACACAGCTTCGCATTTTCCAAAATGCCTTGGAGCTAGATTTATACTGTGCGAAAAGCACAGATCGTGTCCACACACAACACAGAGCTTACACTGTGCCTTCTCGTGCAGGCTTCCTTCCTTTTTAACTATGTCTTAAGTTTCATCCATGTCTTTTTTTATAGCTTGATAGCTCATTAGTGCTGGAAAAATATTGTTGCCATAATGTGTTTAGTATTTTGCATTCACCTACTGAGGGGCCATCCTGGTTCTTTCCTTTATTTATGGCAGATGCATAGAGCTACTGTAAACATCAATGAGCATGTGTTTGTGTGGATATAAAATTTCAGCTCTAGTTGGCTAAATACCAAGGGCTGTAATTTTTGCATTGTGTGGTTAAGGTACAGCTAATTTTTGTAGCAAACGGGCAAACTGTTTGGTAACACCATCAGGGAGCGGTAATTTGGTGTCTCGGCCCATTTTTCAGCGTTTGGAGTTGTAAGCCATTCTTTTTCAACATCCCTCCCTCACACACACACATACACACACAAATATGCTCCCACACCAGTGTAAATAGCGTTTCCCTTTTGCTAAAAGAAGGTTGCCTGTATATGGCTTGAGGCATGACTGTTCTAATAGTCCAACTATAGTGCCCATATCTGTGGGAGAACTTGTCAAATAACCAAGTGCACTTGAGTGACACCTTGGCCTTTACACGCTGTTTTTCACTAATCTTGATATGATAGCACACTGTTTTTTAATAATGAAGCTATTTTACTGAGTTATTCATAAAGACATTCTTATACTGTATGCATGTAGGTAGTGTTTTTTACTAATCATTAGAACAGGAAACGCTATCTTTAAAGCTGGCATAGGCTGGGGTATAGCTCAGTGGTAGCACTATTTGCCTAGTATATAAATCTACAGAGTCAGGAACCTAGATCCACCAAAGACACCAAAAAAATCTTATATTACTAGTTATTATTGATTCTTTGAAATTAAAATCTGTTTTCTTTATATGCATTTCTAACAAAATTTTGTCTTTTTTACAGCTTGTGAGCCAGTGCACGGCCCCCTTTTGATTTCAGGTCTGGGTATCATAGCTCTAGCAGAACTACTTGGCCTAGTTTATATGAAATTTGTTGGTAAGTTGATCTTACTTCTTAAGCCTCTGCAAAGAATTTCGGATGTATAATTTAGAAAGGTAGCTTAGTCAGTTCCTCCAGCTGAGGGTAGAAATCTACTGGTGTCTCCAAAAACGAGAAGATATAATTGGAGAGATGGCAGTTAGAGAGGGAGGAGGCATGTGAGCTCACACGGTTTGAATTGCAAATTAAGGAAGAGAATGGCTTTGTGTATTAGAAAGTATAGACTTTATTTTTCTAAGCAGAAGAAGACAGCTTTGAAGGTTCCATTTTGAATTGCTATAAAAGGTTTATTCCTTGTTCCGGTGTCCTCTTGTGGAGCTCTTGGTCCCTCTACTCTTTGTGTAAGCTGCTTGTACATACAGACAGCCCTGAGGAGACAGAAACTGAAAATTAAACATGTCACCTCTGTAATTTAATGTGCGGTGACTTCCAGTGCACTACCCTAAGATACTTCTAGTGCAAAACTAGTAAAGTAAAAGAGATCTCTAAATTCGAGATGTTTCGGCCTTTAAAATCAGTTTTTCATTGGTTTTTGGTACTTGCTCTTGCCATTTGGTGTTTAACCTGCCAGTCTCAACTCTGTGGTTTCTGCATTTTTATTGTGTACGTGTGTACACAGAGACAGGTGTTTTTCACGGTGTCTGAACTAGAGTGTGCCTTACCTAAGCCACACTTGTCCCCAGCCACCTGATCTATGAAGGTCTCCCTTAAAGGAAGCAGTTCAAACTCCTCACTGCATAACAAGAAAATCCAAAGTTAAAACTCATCGAAACAAATCAGTATTATCAATGTGGTATCAGGTGGACGTTTTCTGAAAATTAATACAAAAGTTAGTTATTATAGTCAATAAATTTTTCATACTACTTACCTAAGACTCAAAGAAATTTTGCCTTTAATTTTGAACTTCTTTGCTTAACCTCTGACCATGAAAATTGATCTATTGCATATATATATTCTTTTCTCTTTAGTTAGTGTTTTAATGTAAACAACTAAAATACTCCGAAGTCTACTTGCTTTTAGTTTTTATGTTGAGAAGTATTAGTTGTTGCTTACTGAATTTTCCTGACACTATGCCACATAAACCCATAAACCCCAACTAAGACATCTGTAGCAGGCTGGCGCTCAGGAGCTGACTCTGACGCCTTGAATTCTGATGCATAGTCTATTTTTGTTAGTCTTCCAATCAGCCTGTGTCTGGACTTGAAGGCTGACAGTGCTGATTTGGTTGCTCCCGTGAATGCTAAGAACAGTATGTGACCTGCAGGATTCACATAAGGATGCAGTGGGATAGGTTTCTCTGCCGACAGTCAGCTCTCCGCTCTTCTTTCCCCTTTGTTCTGCATCCTTGTTCCCAGGCTTCCATAACTGGTCATGAGTGATGCTCAGTATAACTGCCCTGAGATTTGTGCCTCTGTTCCCGCCCTTTCTCCATGGCCCATGTCACATGGAGCCTGTAAAAGCCACTCTACTTGCTCACTGTTGTGGTAAAAGTGAAATCAGAGCACCCAAAGATTCCTTCTTTGGTGATGATTTACGAGACAAATACACTGTATGTAAGTTAAGAATTTCTTCCAGTTTTATTGACACTTTGAGACTATCCTAAATTAACTTTTTACATCAACTTGTCTGACCCCAGAGTGGAGAGAGACACCTTCGGTCAGTTGAAGGGCAAGAAGAAAAGGTACAGGATGGCCGCTTTCTAGATACTGTGGTAGACTAGGACAATGAATGTTTTGCTTATGTGTTCTGGCTGCATAAATCTGAACATATGTAGCATTAAGGTTGCAAATTTGAGCATTTCTACCAGGAAGTGAAAGTTGTGTTTCCAAAATAATTTCTGCTCATTGCAGACACCGTTGTAGAAATGGGTGACTTTTGATTTTAATGCAGTAAAATCCTTACTTTAAAAAAAAAAGCTCTCTTTCTAAAGGAGTTAATATCCCTGTGAGAATGATAACATTTATATTTTTCATTATTTCTGAGTTTAAATTTGTAACCTTAATTGCGGTTTTAAGGGATGTGATTTTAACTTTTGCTTTCAATGGCAAATATAATTTTTGGATTATATTATATTTTTTTCTTATGAGAAGTATTTTAATTTTATGAAGTCAAAAAATTATAATACCTTAATAGAGCACGTAAGAAAGACGAAAGGGAACTAACTTTACCCCTACAGCAGAGCCTGGTTTTGTGTAGGGCGCCTGATGTCATTATTTTATGGGGCACAAGAGTTGTTTTTAAAGCCATTACCTTTTAGTGCAGTGTCAGAGCAGATACAACCGTTCTGGTTCAAATCCACTTGGTAGTGGTCAGAACCAGGCCTGACACAACACCTCGGGGTTCTGAAATGATACAGAAACACACATATATTGTATGTGTATTTATTCAGACATATTTTCTTGTCCATTGTGTATGAGCTATATACAAATCGCTAAAAAAATCATTCCTGAGGAGTTGAAAGCCTGAAAATATATTAATGGCATGTGGTCAGGTATTTCAGAGTGAGCAACATAGCAAGAATTGTTGCAAGTATGGATTTTGATTTAAAAAAAAAAATGACTACCATTGCCCAGGCTCATGACACACGACAACAACTGACCAGTCATCTCCATCCTCCTTCACGTGGCTTATGTCCCCACTGGAGAGAATTAAGTCAGGAAAAATTAACTCCCATGCAGCTAGCTCTATAAAGCCTGAGTACGTGACTGGCTAGTGTCCTTCATAGCGTACGGTGGTCTTGTAGTTTTGTTTCAGAATGAGCTGGGCAAGTCAGACTGGGCAGTGAGAACTTAGCAGCCATGTTGTGCTGCTAAGAATGGTTGAAGCACAGAAAAACTCTTCTTGGTATTACTTATGGTGAACATGTTTATGAGCTTGGCTGTAACTTTAAAATAGTTTGCAGTATTCTTGGGGAGATGAAAAAAAATCTCCTCTTCCCAATTAGAAAAACGTGACAGGTCAAAACATGAATAACCCCAAAATCCAATTTGGTGAACCAGTGAGTTTATCGGGGTTACTTTCAGGAGCAGGAATGAATGTCTCAAAACCAACCCTGCCCCCCAGCATGGGTGACAAACAGCCCATAAAAGCTGAAACCCTACTCAGCCCTCAGGCAGCATAGTGGGTTGAGGAGTCCTATGAGAGAGCTCAGTGGGTCTGAGCTTCTTCTTCCAGACGATGCTTCCTCCAGCTCAGCTTCTCTGAGAGTGACTTGCTGCAATTTTTACTGCTCATATAAGCATGCAGAGGGAGGCAACTCATGAATCTGGCCAGTTTCATGGACTTCCAGAAGCAATTTTGATTCTTTACTCCTCAGGATGGTGGAGGTTTTCATCTCAGAGAAAACTGCTAAGCAACAAACCTTCATATTACCAACCAGAAATGTAGATAGCACCTTTGCTTTATAAAGCGTAAATATAGGGATTGGTACTTGGCGTTGTAGATTCAGTGTCTTGACGGCCCTTCACAACGTTCTAACTCAGCTTAGTTTGCTGGGGCGGCTGCTCCACTCTACCACTTAGAAACGAGGTTACCTTTTTGCTTGAATGTGAGGAATAAGCATTCCCCGAGGACCGCCACAATGAGGGTCTTTCATTTAAAGCCACCCATGGCTCTCACAGAGACACAGGGCTCATGAGGGCAGGTGCATAGATGCTTTCATGGAGTAGGCTAGAACGTGGCTTCGGTATTGGCAGGACACAGCGCAGTTGCCCCACCCATTGCTCTCAGCAGATAGCAGTGGGGGCTGCTCCTTTGTCCTTTACGGTCACTGGCACCCTGCCCTGCATTCTTCATTGTTAGCAGCTATCTTATCTTCACCATTAAAGGTCCCTGTTTTGTTTTTCAAAATTTGATTTATGTTTCACTTTTAGTAGTCGGGCATGTGCACTACACAAAACTTAGAACTCAGCAGTAATTTATTGTATCCATTGCTCGTGGTGAGTGAATTCAGTTAGAGCAGCTTGGGAAGACTCTCCACTGAGATATTTATATGGTTACCAGAGTGAAACACTGTGTGTGTGTGTGTGTGTGTGTGTGTGTGTGTGTGTGTGTGTGGCTTCTCTTCCTTTTTCTAAATAGTGAGCTTTAATTCAGGTCCTTCTTAAATCAACAAACAAATTTCTTCTTGAGAATTGACTGTTACTCCAAAATCTTGCAGGTGCCAGTGACTTCTTTTTAAGAAATGGAAGTTTTAATTGATTTCATTCTCAAAGATGTTTACTTACTGGTAGGAAAGATTCATTGCTATTTAGTCATCCTCAGGTCCGAATATTTTAGCATTATCATCTTAGCAGTACACACCAGCAAAAGCCGAGGAGTTATCTTTAGGATGCAGCCCGTTCCTCTCTGTCTTTGAGTAGTACTCTGTTATTTTATATGAGTACTATATTCACATCATTCCTGCCCTACCTCTCCTCCCTCCAGCTCTTCTGGTGCCCCTCCTCAAATTCATAGCCTTCTAGTCTTTAATTATTGTTGTTACACACACACACACACATTCATGTAAATGTAAATTTATAAGCACAACCTACTGAATTCATTAAGTGTTGCTCATACGTCTATGTGTTTATGACTGACTCTTTGGGATTCAGTCATCTACCACAAGCCTTATCCCCAGAGAAGATTGATCTGCCTTCTCTCATCAGTCATGGGATCCCTTGCTGCTCTTAATTTAGGGGCAGAGCCTTGTGAGATTTTCCTCTTCTATGTTGTCATGTCAACTGATAGCTGTCATTCTGCAGGTCCTGTGTAGGCAACCATATTGTTGAGATTTCATGGGTGCTACTACCCTATCATATAAAAGACACTCTAATGGTCATTATACAAAAGGTTGCAGCAAACATCCTAGTCACCTGGCTTTCACAGTCTTTCTGCCCCCTCCTCTTCAATGTTTGCTGAACTGTATACTAAGCTGTAGGCATAGGGTTTTTGAGCACCCAATGCTCTCTGCTAAGATGTAGGTATAGGGATTATGATGTAGGTATAGAGAGTAAGCTAAATTGTTCTCTGCTTAACTGTAGGCATAAGGATTATGTTGTAGATGAAGTAGTTGAGGTTGAGCAGCCAGTGGTTAGTTGTTCTCTGCATATTGACCAGATATTTCTGTAATCACCTCAATTTGCTTCAGAACAAAGGTTTTTTAGTGAGGGGGTGGGAGCCCCATTTATCTTTGAGTACAAGGATGATCATTTAGAACACTATTTTGCTTTAGGGGAAGTGGCAATAGTCGGTTCACTTCTGGGTCCTCTATCTCCCAAGCCACAAGTCGTTTATTAGGTTTAACAATGTAAAGTATGAATTCCCCCCTATTGAGCAGGCCTGAAGGTCAATGTAATAGCTACTGGTTATCCCCAGTATATAAGTACCAGTATCACACCTGCGAGTATATCTCACTGTTATGGTCATTGTTGTGGTTCATAAGAAAGAGGCTTCTAGGTTGGTCAAGCTTGGTTCCTCCAAGTCCTCTATCCAAAGTGTGTCTGTCTTTAGCTATAACATCTTAACTTCATTTTTGAGGACGTAACCTCAACAGCCTATAATGTTGTGGGAGTCCTTGAACTCCCCTGATGAGCAACTTGGAACGATGTTTCCCATGCCTGGTAGTGGTGTTTTGAATACATAGTATGGCTTTAGGGGGACATTATTACCCCAACTGGCATGGCTTCATTTAAACTCTATGTGTGCATACACACACATAATTGTAATAAACATAAAATAATAATTCCCTATGACTTTTCCAAAAATCTTTATGGTTATTGATCACTATATATTCTTTGAAGTTTTCATATATGTATTCAATGTATGTTGATCATATAAGCCCCCAACTATCTCCCTCCTACTATCCCTGGGGCCTATCAACCTATTTTCTTCCTGTCTCATGTCTTTCTTTTTAAATCATTTTAAAATTTAGTAGTAGTAGTAGTAGTAGTAGTAGTAGTAGTAGTAGTAGTAGTCGTCTCCCAAGTCCAGTTGGTGCTGACTATATGCATGGGCAATATTTTTGCCAATAATAATAATGATGATAATGATAGTCTCCTGAGTCCAATTAGTGGAGCCATGTCCCCAGAGAAAACTGGTTTCCCTGTCCCTCAGTGACCATACTTTCCAGTAACTCTTCATCTAGGAGTGGAGGTCCTATGAGCCCCTGCCCAACCATGCTGGAATTCTGGTTGGCCTGAGCTTTGCACAGTTCTTGTGTAAGCAACTGCCTGTGCTGTGAGTCGGTGTGTCTGTCAGTGACGTCATGTCCAGAAGGCAGCATCTCACAGTTCTCCTCCCCATCCTCCAGCTCTTAAATTCTTCCAAGTCTCTCTTCCAGTCTGTCCAGTGAGCAGAGAGGCTGATGTAGGGATCCGTCTGTGGCTGGACATTCACAGTCCTGATTCCCAGTGCTCTGACTAGTTATGAGTCTGTGCGAACCAAACAAGTGCAGAAAGAACCTTCTCTGACCAAGGTTCAGAGTGGCACAAATCTGCCTTCCACACGTACTCTCTGTTATACATACTTTTTCTATTGTTTTTGAATATATGTGCACACTAGAGTGCTATCTCAGTCTCTTTTACATTTTATTAATAAATGTGTCCTTTGACATTTTCATACACACGCACACACACACACACACACGCACGCACGCACGCACGTATGCACACACATTCTCATTCTTATCACCCGCCCCCGTTAGGCCACTCAACCCCCTGAAAGTCTCTTTGCCATATTCATGAGTTACTGTTTTGTTGGAAGACCCAGTGAGTTTAACCAGGGCCCTCTGTCTGACCATGATTTTGGAACTCTCTGTTGGAGCCTGGTGGGTTCATGTGTATTTACTAAACTGAGGAAGTAATTCTCCAGTTCTCAGAATCTAATATTGGTCATTGGTTTGATGGTGGAAACTTAGACCCCTTGGGTCCCTCCGCCACCCATGCCTGGCTTCAGACAGGCTCATTCGTGTTTAAGTACATTGCAGGCAAGTGTAGTTGTATTGAGTTCCAGATCAAAATGTGTATATCATGTCCAGAAGACAGCATTCTGTAGCCCTGCCTCCTGTCTTCCAGCTCCTATATTCTGTCTGCCTCTCTTCCCAGGGTCCCCTGATCCTCAGTGGAGGGTGTGTAAATGCCTTTTATAGCCGAACACTTACTTATCTCTGTGACTGAGTTCAGTTTATATAATTTAAGGATGATTATGTTTTGCTCCTATTCCCTGCTTAACTGTGTGATGCTTTCCATAGCTACTCTCTTCCTGTAGGTCCTTTTCCTACCCGTAGCTCTGTATTCCAAGCTCTTCCTTGTTTACTTGTTTATTTTTACCTCTCCTTCCCATCACCAATTTCTAGTTAGTCTTATTTATCCTTCTCTAATTCTAGTGGTAATGTGATATTTAGTGGCCTGTCAGCTACAGTTTCTCTGTTTGAGAAAGCCTGGTCCCAGTCAGCTTTAGGAGCTTACTGAATTTGCATGGGCAGGGTGGGGGGATCTCAGCTGTCCTGAGCCCGCCTTTGTTTGCTAGCCAGTAGGGTTTCAGTAGAACCTGTTTTCCAGCAGGCCACATGACTTGGAAATGATTCTGCTTCACCCCCATCTTAAAAGTATATTTTTCATTCTGTTGTTGTTCTTGAATGTTTGTACTGTAAAAATTATCTTGAGAAGTTTGGATTTCTTGAGCTGACATAGAGGGGTATGGTAGGAAATTATGGCTAGTAAAAGAATATTGAGTCGTCGAAAGACTGATGCTGGTCATGTTCTCCTGTCTTGGGGACACAGGAGTGTGTGACAGGATAGCTGTAGTTGTTCTAGGGTTTCCTTGCCTGATTTTATAAGGAAGTTTTCTTTCCCACCAATCCAGAGTTGTTCTTTTCCCTCTTGTCTTGCCCCCCTAGTCTTGGACCTTCTTTAGCTAATCTGGTCAGAAGCAGCCAAGGGAGCAACTCAGAATGCCGAGGAGGAATACACAGAAGAGGACCTGGTTGGTCTGACACTAACTGTCTGGGATAGCTCTAAGCTTGGCAGGATCATCATGGTTTCTTTTGTCGTTTGTTAGCTTTCTAGAGCTTTGAAGACTGGAAAGGAGAGAAAGGAAGAGAAGGCCCCTAGACTAGGAACAAGAACAGTGTGCTATGGGAGATAGTCTCCCGGGGAAGTTACTCGTTGTCATGTTCTGTCCATCCCGGCTGAGTAATAGGCAGAGATGGGACCCTGGTAGGAGAGAGTAGTTGACAGGATCTTTCACCATGATGTGTAGTGGGTAACTGACAAGAGAGAGATCATGCACATGAGCGAGTCTGTGTTTATTAGTTGCTGTAGGCTCTTATTTGCTTCCCTTTCTCCTGTTAATGTGTATAATCAAGAGTCCTCTAGTTTTCGATCAGACCACCAAAGCTAGGACTCCTTCACTGGAGCATCTAGCACCTTCTAGTTTTAGCCCTGGACTTGTTATCTTAAAATTAAGTATTGCATTACTTCATTTATTTTATTTATTGAATTAATATTTTTATTTATACCAGCTTCCAACCAGAGGACTATACAGCCTCCTAGGGTAAGTTCAAGTTTATTAAATGAATTAAGAATGATTGCTTGATGAATTCAAATGAGAGGTTGATAATTGGAATATTGAACTGTTTTGCTTTCCATTTAATGTGACATCCAATTAAGACAATGCTGAAGTCATTTCAGGGCCTGTGCATGAGTGAGCGGGGCTGATTCTATTGTAAGACTTCTCTTGGGACCTTTATATACCTGTGAGGTAGGAGAAATGACCCTGTAAGATTGCGCTCAGTTTATACATCCAGAATTGGAAAGTCTCTGAGATGGAATGTGGTCATCGCTTCCATCAGAAGGAAGCTGATTGCAATATGTCTCCCCAACTGTTGGGGTTGCTTGACATGAGTTCATAGGCGACAGTTTGAAGCATGATCTTAAGGAAGAGAAGTTGTGCTAAGCTGACTTCATTTAAATATATAAAGCATATGCTGTTGGAAAAGAAATCTGTTTCAAATAACCACTCTCCATTTTATCAACACTCTTCTCCCCCAAAGTGTGCTAGAGGCCTCATTGTGTTTTCCTGCTTTCATAAGCTCTTTGTGGGGGAGGGAGGTTCTAAGAAAAAGAGCAAAATCAGGAGAAGATTACTAGGGGGAGAGGAAACACAAAGTACCATATTGAGTCAGCATAGTGACAGGCCTGAGAGTTCTTACAAGTTGTACTCAGCTTCCTGTAAATAACGGCTGACAGATAAATCTGGCCTCCTCACAGGACACACCCAAAGGGCAGTCAGGGATGGAATGTGTTAATTTACCTCAGCGCTTTACTCTGATGAGAGTAGTGTCCTAGCTAAGTTCCTCACAAGCAGCCCGCAGCTTTCCTAGTGCCTCGTGGAGATAACCTGATCAATGGACCGTTAAATCCTAACAATTTCTTGCTGCTACTAAGTTCAATTTGCATGATGTGAAGATGATTCTGCTTCGCTGCCATCTCTTATTTAACTGTATTTTTTCTATCTCTTGCTGCAATTTGCATGTTTGTACATTAATACTTTCATGGGATTTCTTGAACTGAGAATGATGGGTGGAGCGGGAAATTTTGCACAGAAAAAAAATACTAAGAGAATAATATGGTTGTTATTAAACTATTAACTAGCCTTGGGAAGCCTTGTTTCATTAGCTTTTGCTGTCTTATTTTGCTTTTAGACCCTAGGAATCTCCACTTATAATACAAGTTCAATGATAGTATAAGTTTTAACATAAAAACCATAAAATAAAATGTATTTTGTATAAATATATTTTAAATATTTTCCAGAAAGCTGTAGAGGAACCCCTTAACGGTATGTGATTATTATAAACTTAGTGTTCTTGGTCCATTAGCAAATCGTAATTTGAACTGATTATTAAAGGCATTAGAATACCCATGCATGCCTTGGGAAGAATCTGGTTTGGGAGTATTGTTTGTTTGCTTGTTTTTTGGTTTGTATGCTCTCTTGCCTTAATCTCTGGATTCTTCCTTGATAATTCATCAGAAATTGGTAGTGTTGCTTTTGTAATGTTCTCACTGTCCTGTGCTATAGTAGTTGCTTACTTTTGCAAAGTGACATTGGGCAAGGGGACCATTCACCTTTGTCAAGGTGAAGTGTTTCACCCTCAGAAGAGAAACATCTCGGTGGCTTCCAATTTCTAATTTGTCAATTTTAGAAACATACAGGTTGCCACCTGGCATAATACCAAAATGTTTCACTTACTTCCTATGTAAATCTAGACCTGGATTCTCCAGTAAGTCTGTTTACTTTTTGTGGATGCTGTGGGTGTGAGCCCAAGAAATGCATCCCAAAAAATGATAGTCTCTAATGAGTCTAGCTGTCTATCCGGGAGATAGTTGTGCTCTTGCATATTTGTTTATCTTAAGATTATTTCTATGAAGCCATACTAACTTTTTACTAATTGCTTGCTTGTTACTAATCCTTAGCATTTAAAGAATCAAAAGGAATGATGAATGATGGTAAGTATGAAATTCACTTGTCGTTGTATGCTGATTGATTCATGGACCTTAAAAAGAAAGCAGAGAGCTCCTTGAAATGACAACTTCTTTAGAAAATAAAAGGGTCACTGTCTCTCATGAATGCCCAGATTTCTTGATGTTTAAAACTTAGATCTAGTTTTAGATTCTTTTCTTCTGCCTACCATGGTGTCATTTTTCTGTAGGTGGGTAAGAACAAAACCCTGTGGGGTCTCACAAATTGGAACCTCGTGGTTCCTCACAGAGCAGTTGCCACCTTTGATAAGTGCATTTCAGGTCATGCATCCCTTTGTTGAACTTTTAACATGTTTTTATGAAGTGTGCAGATAGAAACTCTGGCCGGGTTTCTCCTATATTCATGGAGATGATTTTGTTGCATGTGTGCGACACTGGGGGTGATATATCTGCTTTCCTAAGCAAGAACTTAACTCTAACCTTGTGGGAAAGAACCAAAGAGAAAGACTTCCTTACTCCCCCCAGTCTTTCCCTATTCTCTGAACATCAGTTCAATAGCAACATGTACTTGTTAATTCTAACCAAAGAAGTCTGACTCTTGCCCCTAATGTATCCATTTTTAATCCTTCATATACTGTGGTTCTCTAGCTCCATGGGTATTTGGAAACTACATTTGTATTTATCCTATTTTTAAAAATGTCTTCACACCATTGGTCCTTGAAACCATTCCATGCTCCAGACGTTGCTGTTGTAAAGCCTGTGACCTTCCAGTTCACCTCCACAACAAAGAGGTGCCGGTAACACAGGAGACCATCTTCCCCAGAGCACAATTAACTTCTGAATAAGATTAAAAAAAAAAAAAAAAACACTTCCATCGTGTTGGGTGAGCTAAATTTAAAATGGTGCTCAGGCGTGTGTTTAACGGGAAGTCCAGAATGGTCCCTAGTTACAGGCTTTTGTCGTAGCTTTAAAATGTGTGTTTTGCTACACAAGCCACTGCTACCTAAATATGGTGTTTTTAGTGGGAGTAAGTGTAAAGCATGCCAAGGCTGGTTTTTTCATGTTTACCCTCTGTGTCTTGTTTTCAAATATTCTGATCTGGCTTTTACCTACCATGGTGTCATTTTTCTGTAAGTGGACTAAAATGTAAAGAAATAAACCTTTCCCCATTTGCAGAGAACCAGTGTAAAATCCTCCAGGGCCTCTTGGTTAATTTTCTTTAATATGTGACTTCTATTTTAAGTCACTGTATCAGGAGATAGCTTAAAGAACCGTTGTTTTGATTTTTTGTTTGTTTGTGTAGCACATGAGATCTGTGACGACCTTGGAAATGCCCTGAATTTTGGCCATGTTGAACTGATAACAATTTGTTTTTCAAATGTCTGTTGATTTCTAACGTCCTCTCTGGGTGCCTTGTCACACTGGATGAGGTTCGAGGTGCCATCCCTTTACCTACACCAGATCACAAGTCTGTTCACTTCTGTTAACTCAATGGTGTAAATCGAAAGTGAATGAGATAGGATACTATTCTTGGATCAATAACTTCTGCTTTGAAAAACCAGCATCCCTCGCTCGCCTTTTGTGGAGCCAACCCAGCAAGCCGACATGATCAGTCTGTGTTCACTGTATTTTCATTTGTCATTGGCATTTTGCTTAGCAAACTGAAAAGAGGAGTGATTTGCCTGATTTCTCCCTGTGACCTTTACAGATCCGTTCTCATTATTTTTGATATAATATATCTGAAAGAGTTTCACGTTTAGAAACAGATCATGTCTTAATGTGTAGGAAGTAGACATGAGCGGTGACAACATATCACTGTTTCTGTTTTCCAGAATAAGTGAGGGGCACTGACGGACTGTGTCTGGAGAGTCAGACGCGAAGGAACACAGTGTGTCTAAGCACCCTGGCCCTGCTGACTCTGAGAAGAAAACATAAACAGCAGTAACTGACTTTCATCTATGGAAGATGTGTTGGCCCATAGATGATGATCAACGCAGCTGTAATTTACTCAATAAATGAATCATGATTGTGTTGTGTAACCAATTGAAATCCATTTTTCTATTGTTTCTACTCAACGAGGGGCAAAAAGAACAAGGGGCAACTTCCAAGAATGATGCTGGCTAGATCCTCGAGTCTCTGGACACTGGGTTTAAATCAATTCTGTATCAGACTTGCCTAGCATTAACCTGATGGTTACCCAGAGATACCCATGACAAACAGTGGTATCCAGCAAGCCTTAGTAAACTCAGGTTCCCAGCAGCTTTGTCATTCCTGCTGCTAGCTGTCTAATGTGACTGCCACTTCCAGATCATAGGGACAGAGACTAAAGCAGAATAATGAATTCGGCGGCGCAAATCCTGTAAGCCCGCTATGTGTGCTATGATATCAATAGCACTAGTGTCTTCATTCTTGGGGCTTGCCTCCATCCACAATCCCCCCCTTGACATAATGTGCACCCAGATTTTGGATTCTTTTTTTTTTTCCTTTATAAATGTGGATTTCTTTGCACCCTGTCCTGTCCTGCTACTTGCGTTTGCGATATAAGATGCAGTACCTTTTCTCCTCTTCAGACATGGTCCTGTGACACAGTAGTGTCAGTCACAGAAAGGAGCCAGACTTATTCTCAAAGCACTGTGCTCACTCACACTCTTCAGCAAAAAATAGCTATGGCTGTAACATATGTATTCAAGACCTCTGGTTTAAAGGCAAAAAAAAAATCTACAGTGTTTCTTGCCGTGTTTTCTGATCGGAGGCATGACCAAGCAAGACTGAGATCTGAACTATGCGTCTCCTGCATGGCAACATGTGTCTCCATCAGGCCCTAGCAAGGCCAGGGGGAGGAGGTTTTACGCCTGTTGTCTCTTTGTTGCATGGTGAACACTCATCACCTTCCTCCTGTATCCCGCCACTGCCTCCTCCTCTTCCCCTCAGTTTGAAAAGTAAAACAAAACCACCACATTCCCTACCCAGTTTAGAAGAAACCAACGTCCTGACAGTTGTGATCGCATGGAGTACTTTTAGATTATTAGCACTTGTTTTTTATCCCGTTTGTGGGCGTGTTTGTATGTGCTCATG